ATATATATATATATATATAATATTTAAAAAGAGAGAGAAGAAAAGTATTGTGTGCTGTTTCGAATATGTACATTTCAAGGAAACTTAATTTTGCCACTCATTTCATCTTTAAAATTGAAGAGGTTTCTACTAAAAGAGTAGAGTTACAATTCTCTGGTACAGAGATGTTAAAATAGTGGCCAGGCCCTTTGTGTGTTGGATATTATATATCCAGAAATGCTTTTACAACATTATTCTGACTTTGGAAGATTCCTCATGACCCATTTCCCACTCTTAGACTCTGCCATTGGAGTCTGTTTCATTCCTGACATAATATTTATGGCTTTCATAACTACTCTTATTTCTTAGTCTTTACATTGTCTAATTGTCTTTAGTAAGATCACAATTTTCTAGTAAATGCTGCCGTCTAAAATATATATTCCAAAACAAACCTTACTTTAGGTCTAGACGTCAGATGAATCAACTTGGTTTTCTTTGGAGTGAATTGCCTTAAAAGTAGAGATAAATGTATTAATGGGCATTTGGTCTTTTCTTAGCTTTAGTTACCCATCGTGTCTCATAGGATCCTTTCAGTATTACCGCCGGAATAGGAGTGAGGAATGTCCTAACTTAGTGACTGAAGATAATGTTTACATGCAAAAATAAATAACTGACCTGGTCTGTGTATAACTGCCTCCAAGTATTGTAATTTAGCTTTCTTTACTACCTTTATATGGAGTCCTGTAAAAAGAAAGATAAACTAGGATAAATATAGCAGCTCTAAGATACTGCAGGGTTATAGGGTTGTGGTAAAAAAAAAACACAAATCAAAGTTTTGTTCTCCCAGAGATGTTGGTACAGATAAAATTGAGCCTCACATTTGTCTAGCATAGTTATCAGTCTCTGAAATCACTCACAATGAGAGAGCCACTTAATAATCTGAATACAGGCCTCATAGTTTTATTCCAGCTCAGTGACTGCTGTTGACTCTCCCTGTTTCTTTATTTTATTTATTTATTTTTATTTTATTGATTTCAGAGAGGAAGGAAGTGGGAGAGAGAGATAGAAACATCAGTGATGAGAGAGAATCATCGATCGGCTGCCTCCTGCACATCCCACACTGGGGATTGAGCCCACAACCCAGGCATGTGCCCTGACCACTAATCAAACCGTGACCTCCTGTTTCATAGGTTGACGATCCACCACTGAGCCACAATGGCCAGGCCCTCCCTGTTTCTTTACTTCTGTTTTTCTTGTCTGAAAAATTGAGAGGATAATAAATCTTTGCCGAGAAACTTTAAGCAGTAACTAAACATTGAAATCCATGAATGAAAGGTATGATACAGTGATGGTGTGTTATATTGTAACTATTTAAACTACTTATTCTTCCTGTCTTCAGGGCAGGGGTGCTGGTCGCTCACTTTCTTATTCTACAATATCCACCCACATTACTTCTCACAGGAATTTGAGTGTCATTTATTTAGATTTCAGAAGTGTGTGTTGATTGTTTCTAGACAACACGAGAGATGATGGCTCGTTCTGCTGCTACCCTCATCACACATCCCTTCCATGGTATGTTTGCAATTGATAACTGAAATCTGATTTCTTCTCTTCTATAACATGATCTCTCCTGACTGCTTAGTCAGTGGTTCTCAACCTTCTGGCCCTTTAAATACAGTTCCTCATGTTGTGACCCAACCATAAAATTATTTTCGTTGCTACTTCATAACTGTAATGTTGCTACTGTTATGAATCGTAATGTAAATATCTGATATGCAGGATGGTCTTAGGCGACCCCTGTGAAAGGGTCATTCGACCGCCAAAGGTGTCGCGACCCACAGGTTGAGAACTGCTGGCTTAGATGGTTGGCATGGGATTTCAGTAAAGTGCCTTGCCTGCATGTTTTTGTATGCTTCATGTTTTGGCTTTTATCTAATTTATTCAGAAAGCAAAGTGGCTTTATGTGGGAAAACCTTTTTTTTTTTTTTTCAGGGCTATCAAAATTTATCTCAGTGTAGTTTAAAAAATTTTTTTTTCTCTGTGTTCTGTAGTGATCACTCTGAGATCCATGGTACAATTCATTGGCAGAGAATCCAAGTACTGGTAAGTGTTTTTGTTTTTAAGTATTCAAGGAAATCTATTGAAACCAATGTATTAAAATAATACTGCTTTACATTGTTATGTTGCCTTAGTGTTTATAGAACAGTTCATATACCTTATATCATTTGATCTGCATAAAAACGAGAAAATAGTAGAAAATGGCCCAGGCAGGTTTAGGAGCCTACCTGGGACCTCATAAGTTACAGAGCCACTGAAGCCAAAATTCACACTCGCTCCATGTGACAATATCCTTAGGTAGTAATACCTTCAGTTCTGTGCCCAAAATCAACCGCCTTTGCAGAGTGAGAGTGATAAAAGTGGGGGTGTGGGGGAGGGGAGATTTTGACCATGTGAGAAATGATAATTGGATATTTAAAAAATAGCTTGAAAGGAATCTTAATGTATTTTACCTTTCTTTCCTCTGTACCTAGTGGACTTTGTGACTCCATAGTAACCATCTATCGGGAAGAGGGCATGATAGGATTTTTTGCGTGAGTAAATTGCTGATTTGTGTGTGTGATTTTTGTAAGTGGAAATAAGGAAAATTAATTTTTGAAAAAAGGGGAAATCATCTAATGTGTATCCTGAGAGAATACGTTTTTGCAAGGGTGTATCAATTCCCTTGAATTTACTTTGAAAGAACTTAAGATTGCTACCCTCTTTTTTTAATTAATAGTAAAAACTGCATTATTAAGTAAATAGTCCTTTTTTAATTTTCAGTGTTTCTACATAATTGATTTTATTCATGTGTCATAAGTACTCTGGGAAATGGGCAGAACAGCCATATTATTCTCATTTTAGATATATATATTTTAAAATGGATGCTCTGGGAGGTTCATTTGATGCTGGTCATATAGCTGATGTGTTAGATGTGACATTTGAGTCTGGTCTTCAGTCTGTAGACTAATATTTGTCCCACTATTCCATACTCCCCCACAAAGATCACTGAGACTCAAAACATGGGTTTTTTATGTCTCTTACTTGTACCTGTGTTTGGATCATTTTCATTTTGTGATTTTTTTCATCTTTTGCCCTGCCAACTTTGAATATAAAATATAGTTTAGCAAAAACAGTATTTAAGTCTCTTCTCCAAAGTAGTTGTTAATAGTAAGGTGAGCCATTGACCATAGATTAAAGGAGTATGGCTGACCTGCATTTTAAAAATAGGAATGAAAGTCATTAGAGATTAGCTTCAAGGACAGTTGTATCAACTAGAATGAGGGCTAGGTTCTGGTATTCGATGTCTTTTCCATTCTCTAGAATGTTTTGAAATCTCTAATTCTTTGGGAAGTGTTTGGATTATCTTTTTATTGATCACACTTCTTAATTATTATTTTTATTGTTTCTCCATGTAGGGGTCTTATTCCTCGCCTCCTAGGTGACATCATTTCTTTGTGGCTCTGTAACTCACTGGCCTACCTCGTCAATACCTATGCACTGGACAGTGGGGTAGGTTGTGACCTTGATGAGATGTGCTAGTGCTGACTTTATTGTATTCGCTCGGCGGCTAGGTTAGCTTTAAAAAGTAAGATGGCAGTTTATTATGTGCCAGACTCATCATTATGTAGCTAAACATCAGTCAAGTTTTCAAAGGCTCACGGAATGACCCATACTATTTACCATGACCCATACTATTTACCATAGAGAAATGTACCTTAGAAGTCCTCGGTGTAGCAGAGTAAGCCCAAGAGATTTATCCCTGTCTCTGCTGCAAGGAGATCACTTCTTTATTGATAGCTAATTGTGGAGGCCACCATGAAGCAGTACTGTTTTGTAGTTATTCAGTGTGTTTTACCTAATCTGAAATGTTAAGGTAGCTTCTGTATTGGGCTTTCTAGAAACCTCAGTCTGGAAGGTTTGGGGAGTCGGCCTTTCCTAGAAGTAATGTTTCCTCCACTCCAGCAGTTGTGGGCCTCTTTGTACACAAGCAGTCCCTCACATGGTGGAAAATAGAACAGACCCAGGGATAGGACTAAATCCATGCTGTAAGCTTCTTGAGTACAGAGCCTGGTCTCCAAAGCATCTGGGACACAGCTGGGTGCACCTAGAGGTATACTGTAAAAGGAATTTCTGGAGATTGTATTTCTAGGACATGGGGAAAGGTTACGAATCTCATTTTCTTTTGAAATCCTCAAGCTGTTACATTGGTTCCTAAGCCATCTTATAAATTCATCTACTGTGAATATGTCTACTAATTTTGAATCAAATTCCTCATTTTGACCACTATCTTTTTATGTTCATAATCAGTATTTTATGTTTTCATGCTCAAAATAAATTTTCAAGCTGTCAGACTGATAATTTAGAGATAGAATATATGGATATGGTTGGGGACAAGTAGCTGTTAATATCAACTTCATCTCATTATTCATCCTAATAAAGGCTTCCTTCCTGTTTTAGGTTTCTACCATGAATGAAATGAAGAGTTATTCCCAAGCTGTCACAGGAGTGAGTTGCTGTTTTTTTTAAATCCTTTTAACCTAGGAATTTTGTGTGTGTGTGTTTTTTAATTTGGCCTGTATTATCACTGCTTTAAAGCAACCAGATGTTTCCAGAAAAGTCAGATTTGTTAATGTTTGGCAGAGCTAAGAATAGCCCAGAGTTCCTACATAACAGTACCAGTGATAATGAGCCCATGTGGTTTGGTGTTGAGCTTTCAGGAGAGGGATGTGGGCATTCTCATGACAGCTTTCCCTGATTCTCGGGGCTGCTTCTCCCTGCAGCCCGTTGATCTTACCGTGGAGAAGGCACCCACTTTAGTCATATGGAGCCTTCCAGTAGTTGACTTCTGAAGTCATTTTCATTGTCTTTGGAAGGCTACTCATGTTTTCTTCCCTTTTTAAAAAAATATATATTTATTGATTTCAGAGAGGAAGGGAGAGGGCCAGATAGAAACATGAATGATGAGAGAGAATCATTGATTGGCTGCCTCCTGCATGCCCCACATTTGAGATTGAGCCCACAACTTGAGCATGTGCCCTGACTGGGAATCAAACTGTTAACCTCCTGGTTCATATGTCAATGCTCAACCCCTGAGCACACTGGCCGAGCATGTTTTCTTATTTTGAAATTGTATTTAGTTATATCTGCTTTTTCTCTTAAATACTGTAGTTCAGTTTTACTTGAATGAGGCCTCAATCACCAAAATAAGAGAATTCTTCTGGCCTTTATTAAAATGTTAGCTATAGTGGTATATTAAGAGAAGGAAGCATCTCAAGCTGAAAATTTGTCATTTAGTCTTTCCTGGAATACTGAAAAAGCAAAGCCAGTATTGGAGTATTTGACCACAGAGGCGCTAGGTTTTTAAGGGAGAAGAAAGAAGAGAAGAAAGGAGACTGATGACCTAATAACTTAGCTATTGTTTTACTGTTTTACAGTTTTTTGCCAGTATGTTGACCTATCCCTTTGTGCTTGTCTCTAATCTCATGGCTGTCAACAACTGTGGGTAAGTGCTTTGCATTTCTTCTCCTGGTAGTTGGCTGCTGTGTGCTTGATGGGCAGAGTGGTCCTGGTGGAAATGTCAGGGAGAAAAGTACAGTTGATGCTATTCCTAGATTTCCAATTTTTTTTCTCTGTATGTCCCATGTATCAGCAGTGGCATTAATCTATAATAATAAAAGGGTAGTATGCTAATTAGACCAGACATCTTCCAGATGTCCTTCCTGACAAAGCTGGGGCCGGAGGGAAGCCAGGCTTACATGTCAGCCCGGGCCTGCAGGCGGTCCGAGGGAAGCCAGCCTGGGCCCCTGGTGCCTGCGGGCAGCCCGAGGGAAGCCAGTCCAGATTCCAGGTGCCTGCTGAAGGGAAGCCGATGCCAGCAGCCACAGGAAGGAAGGCCTACTCTTGCACAAATTTTATGCATCAGGCCTCTAGTTTATATTATTATAAGTGGCCACCTCATATTCTTTTTTTGGAATAGGGAAAGCATAGATAATGTTTCTCAAGTCCTTAAATATAATATGCACTTGCCATTATAGGTCCTATTCTGAAAAGGACTGGATAATTACCAAATTATTCTATTTTTACATCTTTCCATTATTTTAAATCTTTATCCTCTTTTTCTTGAAAGTTACAACAGGTATATCAGGGATTGAATGACAACCTGTACCTGTTTTTCCTAGGAGAAAGTGAGTTTTAAAGAAAGAAAAATGGGGAATTTGGTCCATGGAAAGTTTCTTAACCTTTCAGTGTATTGGTCAGGAAGGATAGGTGTGGTGTGGTGCTGGACACCATTGAGTTCATGCTTCTAGATGCCAGGTGACCATACCAAGTTGAAACAGGTTTTGCCTCTTGATTCGGTTCAGGAGAACTCTGTTCTAATACAGTACTTGATACAATATACCATTGGACGTGTATGTCATTGTTTTCCAACAAGATAGCAACTGGAAAGCTGTATGGAGTTTTGAGCACAGTTGTCATCTATAATAATTTTCTATAATAATAAAAGCATAATATGCAAATCAACCAAACAGCCAAACAGCAGAACAACCGTCTGGACGACCACACTATGACACACACTGGTGCCAGGACAGCCAAGGCGGGTGCAATGCGATTGGTCAGGGGGCCCCGCCATCGCTCCACGATCGCCCCGCAAAGAGAGACCCAGGCCACCCTCTGCAGGGCAATTGATCAGGGGGCTCCGCGATCACCCCAAAGAGGGAGGCCCAGGCTACCCGGCCTGTAGCGCTGCGGCAGGTAGGCAGGGCCTCCCTCTGCCTGGGGTGGGGGGAGTGATCGATCCGGGAGGGAAGCCCAGTCCTGGGTGCTGGCAGCCAGGAGAAGGAAGGCCTACCACTGCATGAATTTTGTGCATCAGGCCTCTAGTATTTCATATCATGTTACATTCTGTTTGCTTTGATTTGTAGAGTAGCTGCCATATTTTAGCCCAAAGCATACTTGAAGGACGAGTTAAGTGTGTTTATTCCTTATAATTTTTGGAGAGGAAGTGATTATACGTGAGTAAGAGCATGTAGTCACCACTGTTATATCCATTGTCATACTTAGGTGCCTTTTTTTTCCCTCACATAAAAGTTTAGTTTATTAATCTTTTCATGAAAAATCTGCACAGTCACCACAGATAAAGTCCTGCAGAACCTTTACTCCTTCTTTTAGCCAACACCAACATTGGCCTTTGCAGTCCCCTTGACTTTCTTCATTCTGTTCTTGCGTTCCTTTCTGTTTTCTTGAGGTCATCGTCTTCTCATTTAGGCCATGTTTTGCAAGTCTATATGTGGGTTCATTTTTCTCTGCGTAATCCAAGGAATCATAAATCATGCCAAAGCCAGTGGTCTTACCACCACCAAAGTAGGTTCTGAATCCAAACACAAAGGTGACATCAGGTGTGGTCTTACACATTTTGGCTAGTTTTTCCCAAATTTCTGTCTTGGGTACTGTTGCCTTTCCAGGGTGAAGGACATCAATGACCATTTGCTTCCGCTGAAGTAGTCTGTTGGTCATTAACTTCCTGATCCATACAGTTCCTGTGTCATTCATGATGAAGGTTGATCTTCAGGCAGCCAGGGAGGAAAAGAGAGCCACTGTTCCCTCGTTAGGTGCTTTTAAACACCACTTAGTTTTTAAATCCCATTTTCCTACTCTTTAGTTATATAATTGATGTGTTTTAGAATTTCATATCTCCACAAATTAAAAACCTAGATGTTTTAGAAAATACATAACTGAAGTTTATTCGTTGATTTCAAAACATAAATATAAGGGAAATTTATTAGAACTAAAATTGCCTCTCAGAGAAACTTCTAGGCAGAAGAATGTTTTGACAAAGATTTACTGGACTCTTGAGAGAATGTTTTGTGAATATTAACTTGAATGGCTCATCTTTATTTCTATTTCAGGCTTGCTGGTGGGTGCCCTCCTTACTCCCCAATATATACTTCTTGGATAGACTGCTGGAGCATGCTACAAAAAGAGGTACTTCTCTCTTTCTCTCTTCCTCTCTTGCCCCTATTCTTCCCCCCTTCACACACCCCCTCCTCCATATATTTTACTTTATTTTGTTCTTGTTTGTTTTCTTAAATAATGTTTCTGGGATCCCAGGTTAATTCTTGTAGCTTACCTTTTAGCTACCAATCACTGTGCCCTTGACAGTGTTCCATATGTCATCTGGCATAGTAGTAAAATGTGCTGCTTAGAAATCAGCAGGGGTAATGAAGAAGCAGGAATCCCTAGATGTGATCCAGATGCCTTTTGAGTGATCACATTCAAATTACAAATGGGCTCTGGGTAAACGCTTATCCTGGTTGTGAAAATGATAGCCTTGATTTCAGATTTTTTTCCTCACTTCACCTTTTTGTAACTTCACAGAATCTCCTTATGTATTCAAGTGTTTTCTCACAGTGTGGTGGGAGTAAACGGAGAAATGAGAAGTTGTTTATGTCATTATTTGTTCACAATGATGTTGATAGACCTGGTCTCTTACTGCTAGAGACTTAGTCCCAGTTTTGTCCTAGTCATTTAGTTATGTCTCCTAAATATGTTAGTGAATCATTTTGTTTTGACTCCAATTTATTGTTTGTTATTGCTGTGAGATATATCATCTGCAACCAAAAATTCCTTATCACTCTAGGCAAAGTTTTATTAGGAACCAAAGTAATGGATGGCTGTATGCTAAATTTAACACAGGACCACTTAAAATTGCCATCAGTTTAAAGCTGTTTTTGAGTAGAAGCACTTTTTTTTTCAATCCTTACCCAAAAATGTTTTTTTTTTACTAAGTTTAGAGAAAGGAGGGGAGAGAGAGAAACACTGATGTGTGATAGAAACATCAATTGGTTGCCTCACATAGGTGTCCCCAATAGGAATCAAACCTGAAGCCTTTCAGTGCTCAGGATAATGGTCCAACCCACTAAGCCATACCAGCCAGGGCAAGTGGGTAGCACTTTTTATAGGATTGTAGAAGAAAATATATGAAGAAACTCTTTGTTTCATTATATTATAGCACTAGTGATACATATGAGAAAGGCCTTTGTTCATAAAGCTCAGTACTACTGCAGTTGTTTATGCTCAGTGTGCATACACAACAAGCCCCTCCTGAATCCAGGCTAGAATTCTTTTTTTTATTTATTTTTTATTTTTAAATATGTATTTTTATTGATTTCAGAGAGGAAAGAAGAGGGGGAGAGAGAGGTAGAAACATCAATGATGAGAGAGAATCATTGATCGGCTGCCTCCTGCTCACCCCACACTGGGGATCGAGCCCACAACCCCAGACATGTGCCCTTTATCAGAATCGAACCTGAGACCCTTCAGTCCGCAGGCCAATGCTCTATCCACTGCGCCAAACCAGCTAGGGCCTTTTTTTTTCTTTATGTTTTTATTATAATTTTATTTTTAAATATATATATGTATGTATTTTTTACCACCTTTAAATATATTTTTATTAATTTCAGAGAGAAGTAGGGAGAAAGGGAGAGAGAGAGAAACATCAATGATGAGAGAGTATCATAGATCTGCTGCCTCCTGCATGCCCTCTACTGGGGATGGAACCCACAATGCAGGCATGTGTCCTGACCAGGAATTGAATGTGTGACCTCTTGGTGCATCGGATGATGCTCAACTAAGTGAGCCACACTGGCTGGGCAAAATAACCATTTTCTATCATCCTACTTTACATATGGGAAAAACTGGGATTTTGAACAGTTAAATAACACCAATTATGTAACTCAAGGTTACACGACCTATATTTGGGAGAGTGGGATCTATGTGAAGGCTATCTAACTTCACAGTCTACTCAGTTAAATTCACACATTACTAATTTAATTATAAGATTGTATAACCACTTCCTAGAGACCTGACCATTCCATTAAAAAATAAATAAAAGCACCTGGCCAGTGTGGCTCAGTGGTTGAGTGTTGACCTCTGAACCAGGAGGTCACAGTTCGATTCCCTGTCAGGGCACATGCCCAGTTTACAGGCTAGATCCCCGTGCAGGAGGCAGCCGATCAATGATTCTCTCTCATCATTGATGTTTTTATCTCTTTCTCTCCCTTCCTCTCTATCTAAAAATCAATAAAGACATGTATTTTTAAAAATGAATAAAAGCTAGCACTTACTGACTGTTAAGACTGTTCTCAGCACTCTATATGTAGTGATTCATTTTATAGCCCAGCCAACAAGTGTCAGAGCCAGAGTCCAAACTGGGAATTTTGTCTAAATAAGTAAGAAATTTTTTGCCTTATCTATGTGGCAAAATTGGAGTTAGTTCCACAAACGCTTAGCATGAGTCAGAAAGTACAAATTGCTACTCTTAGTGATCATTGGTTTTGTCCTAGCTGCTTAGTTACATCTCCTAGAAACATGTCTAGAAGGATCTCTACTGATTTGGACTGGCTGATCTCATCTTCACACTAGATTTTATTTGTATTTATTTGTTTTCCAGGGAAATATGAGCCGAGGAAATAGCTTGTTTTTCCGGAAGGTCCCCTTTGGGAAGACTTATTGTTGTGACCTGAGAATGTTAATTTGAAGATGTGGGACAGGGACAGTGACATTTCTATAGTCCCAGATGCACAGAATTATGGGAGAGAATGTTGATTTCTATACAGTGTGGCACGCTTTTTTAATAATCATTTAATCTTGGGAAAATGGAGGTATTTGGTGTCTGCCTTTTTTTTTGTTCTTTTTCCCAGCACAGCATAATTTACCACTAATATTCCCCCTTTAGTTATTCTGAAATTGAACATTTTTGCTCCAGACTCTTTATTTTACTTAAACAGGGAAAAAAAGTTGCATTTTCCTAACTATTGTCATGTGATTTGGTCTTAATTCAAGGCTTTGTAAAATGAAGAGTACAGTCCCAAGAAGAAAGATAAATACTGTAAAATTTCAGAATAGTAAGGCAAACTGTATGGGAGGTCATGAATGACCTTTCTTTAGTACACCCTAAAAACTCAGCAGTATCCTCCAGAATTTGCCTCCCATTATATGCTTCTAAGCATTTTTTATTAATCCTGTCTCTCATACTTCATAAAAGGGACAATCCATTGCTAAATCACCCTACAAAATCTCTACATGAAGCATCCACACCTTCAGTCTGTTATTGCAAAGTAATAAATTGTTGTCAACAGAAAAAAAAAAAGACAATTATAGAGAATAAGCAAGATTTGGAAAAGAAGCATACTGGCTTTTTCCCCCCAAAAGAAATTCTTGTTATTTAAAATATGAAAAGCAAATGCTGCAGCAGTAGCCCCTTCTCTAAAAGCTAAGTGTTTTCCAGTCCCTAAATGACATCATTACATAGTTCTAATTGTATATACTCTTGTTCTTCAGTTTTTGTTTTGTTTCCTTTTTGTTGCAGAAGGTGAGTAGTTTGTTTTTCATTCCTTATGACACCCTTGGAAAGTGTACTTGTAACTTCATATCAGGTGATGCAGTCCACAGGGTTCTTAGGATATTGACCACCTCGCATGTCATACCCTCAGTTAGGCATGTTAACAGCATTTATAGAAGGGAAAAATCATTTTAGGAGGCAATGAATTTCAACTCAAGCATAAAGCTTCTATTTACTCAGGACTTTTAAAAGCAGGTTAAAATGCTCCAAGATGAGAAAGCATGTTGTTTTACTTATTTAAATAACCCACTAGGATGTTGCCAAATGAGTAAGCACTTAATTTGCTGCTTCTCAGATTTCTCTATGAAAGCAGCAGCCCCCAGGATATCCGACTGAGCATGCAGGTCTCTCCTTCCCCAGGGTTTAGGAATCAGCCTGAAGCTCATGAGTAGCTTACCTTGAAATGTCTTTGATGTCTCTTACTTTGTCTTAAAAAGTAATGTAAATTTTATATTCTATTCAATATTATATGCATTTGTTTTAATATAAAAATGTTTTGCATTACCCATCTTTTTCCCCAAAAAAAATCTTCAAGTAAAGATGATCTAGGAAAATGTGCCATGTTTATTATCCTGTGGCTTCTGTGCTCATACACGCCTGCCTCTTCCTAGTTGAGTCTGACTGTAAGGACCATTCTACCACCAGAGGGCGCCAAGACTCTGGTTTTGCCTGTGCAAGTTGGGCTGCTAAAATATTTCACCAAGGCCTGGAATTGTTCTAAGTACTAGTCTAGGCAATCTGATTACATCCAAGCAATAGGTCCGATAAGGGTGCTATTCCTATGTTCCTCATTAAGTTTAAAGGCTATTCATAGAATAAAAAGTCTGAACTTTATTCAGGGGCTAGTAAATTCAAAGGTACTCTTAAGATACATATGTAAAAATAATGAACTGACTCATTATATGTGTAATATAGAGTTAGATGAGGGTTATCTAGTAAACCGCACCCGTGACACTGGGCAAGTGCTTTGCTTTGGCAGTGCTGAGCAAAAGTGCCAGGAAATATCCCCCTCTAGGGAGTGTGATGGTCATTGAAGCCTTGATTAAATGAAGAAAAGAATGAGGGGTTTCCTGGAACTTTTGGGGTGGTTGTAAAAGCAACCTTACAATGAAATAAACTTTAAACATAACCCTACATTCCAGCTTCTTACTGTTACCTGAACATACGTTGGCTTTGTTGTGATCTACTTTAGAACTGTCTTCCTTTCCCTCTCCCATTGACATTTGTCCTCTATAGTAAGAATCAGCTCTTGTGCGATCTCCTTGTGAAGTCTCTCACTCATAATCCTAGTTTGAAGGTATTTGCTTCAAACTCCCCTCCCCCAGGTCCCGTAATTACAGTATAGACTGAACTGAAAAAATGGAAACTACATCCAAAACCAAGTGTAAGGCTCACCCAGCAGGGCATTACTTCTCTCTGATGTGAAATTCTGTGAAAATAATTGCATTTAGCCCTTTTAGACAGGCCCCCTGAAACACTGGACTTTATAGAGAAACTAGCTGATCAAGGAGCAGCAGTACATGCAGTTGGTCAGTCTAAGGTGAGGGAGCAGGAAGAGAGAGCTTTGGGAAGTAATAACTGCCAAGCCTGTTGCATAAGTTTTCTCATAATCTTTGGTGGAAATAAAGAAAATGAGATTCAGATTAAATTACTCATTCAAAACTGCAGAGCAGGTTTCAAAGCTGCATTCAAACCCGAGTTTCAAATTGTAAGGTCTATTTACTGCTTCATGGAGGCTGAGGGAAAAAATCAGCCAAATGAACCAAATGGTAAGTAAGTCATCCATCTGAAGAAAAAGGCCCAGCTCTTAGTGAAAGCAGTGAACTGAAGAACAGGCCTCCCCTAGGACAGAGAGCAGAATGGTCTTAAATCAGCAAATACATAGTTCTTGCCTCAGCAGAGTGATAAACAGGTGAAGTAACTGAAAATAGATACGATTGCCATGGCCCACCTAGACTGTTACGATGGTTTATGCAGCTGGAAAGCAAAGTTCTTATATAATTAGGATTTACTCTATAGGAGTACTATCAGTCCTTCTTATTTGGATTTCTACCGCTTTTGGAGGATAACATTTCTTCAAAGTGATCTATGTGTCAGCTCCTTTGATGGATTTTTCTAGAACATCCTTGTATATTAGGGGGCTTTATTCAGGCTGCCTTTCTAAATGCCATAGTAATTTAATCTTGGAGTTTTTTGTTTTTTAAATATAGACAAAGATGAGTGTTTATCTCCTTTGCAGAGATTTTTCGGGTACCTAAGAATGTCACATGTGACATCTCATTACCCCCACCCCCATTGGCCCCACATCCTATTGTCTCTTCAGACTTGAGATCATCTTGCACTCTGATTTTTGTCTTAAGGGGAAATTTGCAAATGAAAGGTGGTTCTGCCACCAACCAATGCCTTCTTTTCAGAATATTTTTGACGGTGACTGATTAAATTTCTAAAACAACTGAGTGTTTTCCTTCCAACAAACTTTGTCCCTAAGAATCAGCTTCCTCATCTGTCTGCTGCCTAAAGAGATGTCTTGGGGAGGCTCCCACACACTGTACTAGTCTTCCGTGATTCATGGCCACGAGCTGAAATCTTGGAAAGCCCATTTTGCCTTGCTCTCATAGTGCATTCCTCTGCAATCCAGGCCCAAATCTCCAGTGTGGGACCAATTAGGCAAATTTTAAAACCACAGTTGACCCAACTTACTACGGCCCTGAAAAAGAGTATTTTCAAATAGATTCAGGTCACTATCACCCTCCAAAATGTGGTTGGAGAACAGGGCTTTAGAGAGTGTCAAAGAGAACAGGTTGAGAAAAAGAAACGTGACCTGGAGGTGCTATTCAAGACTCACCAGCCCTAACCGGTTTGGCTCAGTGGATAGAGCATCAGCCTACAGACTCAAAGGTCCCAGGTTCGAGTCTGGTCAAGGGCATGTACCTTGGTTGCGGGCACATCCCCAGTGGGGAGTGTGTAGGAGGCAGCTGATCGATGTTTCTAACTCTCCATTCCTCTCTGTGAAAAATCAATAAAATATATTTTAAAAAAGACCAGCTTCCTGAGAGGAAGGGCAAATACTGAAACAAGCCCCACCCCTCCCAAAGTCTACACAATGACAGTGGGTAAGAGGAAGTTTTCTACACCAATTCCTGCTCACTAAGGCAGCCAGAAGAATGTTCTCTGGTCATGCCACATTTCCACGGAAAATCTACTTGGTATTGCAGCTTGTTTCCAGACAGACTAGCATGAGGAGCTAAAGGTCAAATAAGGACAAGAAACAGAATTGTACCTACTCACTTTCTATCCAGTCTGGGGCCCTGCCCTCCTGGCGTCAAAAAGACTGGGGAGAATGTCCTTTGGCTAAAAATGAAAAGAGAAGGTGAAAATGGAAACAACAGCCACACCTCACTGCATACTGTGCACCTCCCACTGGAATTTGGTATTTCATGCCTTTCCTCCCCCCAAGGGACTTAAACTTTAGAGTTTATAAGTGCAGCCCTCCGTTATTAAATGTGTAGCCGAGGCAAAGTCCTGTGGTCGGGTCAGGGGAGAATGTACAGCGTGCAGTAAATCTCTCCCTGTCCTCCCTGGCACTTACTGTGCCCTGAGGGAGGGATGTGGTGTGATAAGTACAAAAAGGAGGAATGGTGGGAGGATTAAACGGAACCATATGTAGAACAAAGCCTGGTGCACTGAAAAAGGACAGACACTGAGTTCTGGAGACACGCTGTGGTGACTATGGTACAAGGCAGTGTGTGCCAGGAGCTGCTGAAACCAAGCACCATGGGCTCCCAAGAGGGGAAGCTCATATCCCATTGGGAGAACATGGGGAAGACTTCATGAAGGATAGGATACTAGGGAGCAAGATGGTGAGATGGGAACCATTTCCAGCTCACTTAGTAGCTGTGATACCTCGGGCAAGCTCCTCACCTCTAAATGAGAGCAATTATCTTTTTTTTTTTTTTTTTTTTTGATTTTTTACAGAGAGGAAGGGAGAGAGATAGAGAGTTAGAAACATCGATGAGAGAGAAACATCGATCAGCTGCCTCCTGCACATCTCCTACTGGGGATATGCCCGCTACGAAGGTACATGCCCTTGACCGAAATCGAACCTGGGAACTTTCAGTCCGCAGGCCGACGCTCTATCCACTGAGCCAAACCGGTTTCGGCGCAATTATCTTATTGGAGTATTTTTTAAAATATATTTTTATTTCAGAAAGGGAAAGAGAAACATCGATGAGAGAGAATCATTGATTGGCTGCCTCCTGCACAGCCCCTACTGGGGATCGAGCCCACAACCCAGGCATGTGCCCTGACAGAATCGAGCCATGACCTCCTGGTTCATAGATTAATGCTCACTTATTGAGCCACACCAGCTGGGCTTATTGGATTATTGAATTTAATATAGTATCTGAGAAAAAATTTGGTATGTGACAGCTGTTATCTAAGAAGAGGAGAGGATATCTGACAAGTACAGATAATGTGGGCAAAGTCATGGAGGTGATGGAGGCTGAAGAGTGGAATTGCATCTCTTCAACGCTGTATTTGAAGCTCATTTGAATAATTCGCACCCAAAACAGTAACTGTCACATAGGACTTAGTAAATGTTTGTGAATAAATGGATGTCCTTCAGGACCCTGAAATTGAATTATATCCTAACCTTCTCCCTAAGTTTGCAGTGGTAATTGCATCCACAAACTTTATTAAACACTTAATTATCACCCTGTTTCCCAAGCTAAACACCCTGGAGATGACTGAGTCCTCCCACCCTTCCCTCTACTTCTAAGAAGTCGCTGCTAGGTTCTCAGAAATGCCTCTTGGATTTGTCATGTTCCCTCCATCCCCACTGTCTTGGTGGATCATCTCTGCTCAGCTGTTGCAGCAGCCTGTTATCTTGTCTTCCTGCCATCAGCGTGGCACAGTAGGCAGTAGATAAGCTGGAGCTCTGCCGGATGACAAGGTCTGGAGGACAGCTACAACTGTCTGCCTGTGCAAGCTTCCGGCCAGGGGTAAGATATTTCTGACCCGCATTTCTTAAGACTTCTTGCCCTAGCGTCCTAAATCTTTACACCCCGAGCCCAAGCCATACAGTCCCAATTCTACAACCTCCGCTGCTCTGCGCCTCTGTACCTCACCAGTAGTTGCTCTCTGTGTTTATCTTCCACTGAAGCCTTGCAAGATATTTATGAATAGAAAGTGGGTGTAAAGTTCTGCAAATGTGTCAAACAAGGCTAATTCCATCTCCATTTGAGCTTTGAAATTCCTGTCCACCTCTTCATCTTCCATCTTCCTCTCAAAGTCTTTGATTCCTGCTCTCTCCTTGTTTATGGCCATGATAAACCTGGAAACCATGGTGGCTAAGAGGTGTGACCTGGAAAGAGTGGGAAAACTAAATGGATTCATCATGTATAGACAACTGTGCAGAGTAAAAGCTATTGAAATAACAAATCTACTTACCACCTAATAATAGAGTATTTGTTGGTGGCCTACTACATGTCCTGCCCATATATTCATTAGCTCCAACCCATAAAACAGCCATTTACTGGTAAGCAGTATCACCCCTACTTTACTGATAGATTTGCCCAAGGCTGATGAATGACAAAGCCAGGATTCAGACCCAGGCCTGCAAGCCTGGGGAATTCCTAATATGCTGTGCACATGTATTGAGTCCTACTGTTTTTCTGCATTAAAATAGGGGAACAGATTTAAGGAGTTGAAACTTGATGGACAGGAACTCGTGATTTTATAACAATAAAAGGGTCAACATTGTATATTATGGTTGCATGGTCAGAAACCCAACAAACCGGCCTAAAAAAAAAAAGAATTTATTGGCTCACGTAGCAGAAATGGCCAGTGGTTAATCCACTGGTTCAAGCAAAGGCATCAGGACTCCCATCTTCATCCCATGGGTCTGCCTACCTCTGCCTAGTTTCCCTCAGGCAGGCTCATTCCATGTGGCAGCAACATGCCAAATGGCGTGTTGGCTTCTTAGGCCTTGTTATTCCAGAGAATGAGCTAATATCTCTTAGGGAAGCTCCTGGAGGACTCTGGCCTCAAATACAGGTCCATCTGCAAGCCATTCAGTACTCTGGCGTACTCGACTGGCCAGACCTGAGTCTCAGGCACAGCTGAAGGGGTCAGGATCCAGGGTCAGCCCCACTGGAACCTTATACTTTGAGCTGGAGCAGCATGGCTCATAAAACAACTTGTTAGTAAGGGGCAGAGCAAGAATTCAGACACACCTGGGTGTTTGACAGCAAAGCCTGCATGCTTTGCACCACAGCACATGGGGGGGGTGGGGGCCAGACATGGAGCCTTTGGTGAGACTGAAAGATGAGCTCTTGGAAGCTCTGTCCCTGTGGGAGCTCACCTTCAACTGCCCAGCCGTGCTCTGAGGGCAGGATGGCACTGGGCTGGCAGACGGCCTCTGCCCTGGCCACCAGAGTCCCCACAGCTACCTGCTGAGCGACAAATCCTTCACATGCATCAGGGACAGGGTCCTCTCTCAGTGGGAAAAACAACTACCATGGAGCTCCTGCCACAACCTTCCTGTGACCATAGGCAAGAATTGCCTCCTGGTGCTGTGGGTGTAACAGGAACCACAGGAGAAAGTCAAATCAAGAAAGAGGGCATGTGGGGCATGGAATGGATGGATGAATAAAACATCCTAGGAAATAATTTGAAAAACAAAATTATTTAACTATGTTTTTAGTGATCTCAGAGACAGGAAGGGAGGGGGGGAGAGAGAGAGAGAAATATCAATGATGAGAGATAATCATCAATCAGCTGCCTCCTACTGAGGATTGAGCCCACAACCCGGGCCGGGAATTGAACCATGACCACCTGGCTCATAGGTCGATGCTCAACCGCTGAGCCACACCGGCTGGGTTAATTTTAAAAATTCAGAGAAAAATTAGGATCCCACACTTAGAGACTTGAAGTGGGGATGTGGCACAGGAGAGACAGGAAGCTCTACAATAGGCAGTGGGGACAGCCCACTAGCAGAAAGACCTGGGACAGGGAGCGCCAAAGAAACCAATGTGGCTCTGCAGAGAGCACCTGACAAGCTCGAAAATTAAAAGGCAGGGATGGAGCTGAACCCGTGAAGTCCCTGATACATTGAGACTTGGAAAGGATGTAGAAAGTGAAAATGTCGGTTATGTTCAGACTAAGGAATAAACAGAGGAAAGGATCCCTCAGATGAGGTGTCAGGCTGGCCTTTGTTGGAAACAGATTTCTTCATTGTCCCCTGAGGAAAAGCATTTCTGAACTGGAATGAGTAAAGCAATACAAGGTTTAGAGGAAATTGAAACCCCAAATAAAAGAGATGGGAAGAAAAAAACCTAGGCACCTAGCCATTTAAAATGAGATGCAAATCCCAAGATGCCGAAATACCTTTGCAGGTAACATCTGAGAACCCTTGCCAGTGTAGCTGATAAAAGGAAAGGGAGCACAGTGCAGGATGGCTGCAGATGTCCTGATATTCAGAAGACAGGAAAAAATAGATTCTGGAAACTCTAGGTGGGCACATTTGAGGTAAATCCCCCCCAAATTTATTCTAGAATGCAATATTAAACAGAGTTTGAGAACACCTAGAACAGCCGTGGGCAAACTATGGCCCACGGGCCGGATCCGGCCCGTTTGAAATGAATAAAACTAAAAAAAAAAAAAAGACCGTACCCTTTTATGTAATGATGTTTACTTTGAATTTATATTAGTTCACACAAACACTCCATCCATGCTTTTGTTCCGGCCCTCCGGTCCAGTTTAAGAACCCATTGTGGCCCTCGAGTCAAAAAGTTTGCCCACCCCTGACCTAGAAAAATAATCGGTACCTTCACTAAGAACAGACACAGTAAATAATACCAACCACAATTAATTATTATTTATTTGGAAGGCCACTAGGAAAAGTCCTTGAACATAGTGTACCTTGTTTCCCGTTGGACATTGAATGCCTCCGATTGAGGAGACAACTGGGAAAACTGATCTCAGAGATCAGCTGGATTCACACCTCTCCCCCAGTTGGTTGTCCAGGTGATGCATATCTGGAGACAAGCCTTAAGTTCCATGCTTCGGGGCTCTGCAGGCTCTGCACTTGGTCAGCTCAGTACTTACCAGTGCCTGCCACATCACCATGTCTGCAGATGGCACCACTTACTGAGAGCAAACGCTGATACTTGTCTGAATCAAGATTCTAAAGCATCTTGAAACAGTGGCTGAAACCTACAGGGTGAATTTAAAAGAAGTGAAATGCAGATGCCATTGTGTTACAATTGCCTACAGTATCCAGTACAGTAACATGCTGTACAGGTTTGTAGCCTAGCAATAGCCATTCATACCATCTAGGTTTGTGTAACATTTTATGATGTTTGTACAATGACAAAATCTCTTAAGGACACATTTCTCAGAATGTATTCCTGTTGTTAAGTGACCGAAGACAGTATAAACAAACCTTGTTACTTCTTTACTAATTTACTGCCCTAAGCTCAAATTCTCAGATTCTTCACTAATTAAGCACCCAAACCTAGTTTCTTTTGTCTTGTCAATTTCTCACAAATTTATTGTTTCTTTGAAAAGAATAAAAATGGCCTCCTTTGGTCATTTCTTGAGCTTCCCTTTGTCCCCCCCCCCAAAAAGTGTGAAGACCTGCATTTAGGTTTTTCTTTTTAACCAGCTGCGTAAGCATAGAAGGAAGGAAGTTTGGCTTGACAGCGATGCATACGGGAAAAGGCTGAGGGCTTTCAACCGGCCTCAGGTTGAATAGAAGCCAATAGGAATGGAGCAGCTGCTTAAAAAGATAGTGGTTCTCCCCACCCATTTTTATTTTAGGTACAAAAGGGTGAAACAGTGAAAAGTGTGTCTCTCCCCCATAACCATTTCTCTTCCCAGGAGGCACCTGCTGTTAACAGTTTCTAGTAGATCCTCTGAGATGTATTCAATGCACATAAAAGCAAATGCATGCTTTCTTTTTCTTTTTTTACATAAAGGGCAGCATGCTGTACATCTTGTTTTTCACTGATCAGTAAATCTTAGAGATTATTTCATATCATTATTCAAAATGACTCCTCATTCTTTTGTAAAGGATGCACAGTATTCTGTATATATGTGCCGGAATTTATTTAATGGGCCCTCGATTGCTGGACCTATAGATCATTTCCAGTGTTCTGCTATTATAAACAATGCTTCAATGAATGAGTAACTTATTTCAAATGTGTTGGCATGTATCTGAAGAAGAGCTGTCTGAGAAGTAGAATCACTGAGTGAAAGGGTATACACATTTTAAATTTGGTAGATATTGTCCAGTTGTGACCACTAACAATGTATGAGTGTCAGTTTTTCCACCTCCTTACCAACAGATTGTGTTATACATTTTATTGCTCTTTGACAACCTGAGGGGTAAAAAAATAATGGCATCTTAATGTAACTTTCTTATTCTAATACTTTTTTATTGTCTATATCCTTTACCCATTTTTCTACTGAATTGTCTTTCTTAGAGCTCTTTGTATATTAAAGAAATTTTGTGATATGCGTTACAAATGTTTTCCAGTTTGTAGTTTGTCTTTTTATTTTGTTTCTGCCATGTTTTCCTTTTTTTCTTTTTTAAAAGATTTTTAGAGAGGCAAAGAAAGAGAGAAACATCAATGTGAGAGCGAACCATCAATTGGCTGCCTCCTGCACACTCCCTACAGGGATCCAGCCCACAACTTGGGTATGTGCCCTGACCAGGAATTGAACCAGAAACCTTTCAGTGCATGGACTGACACCCAACCAACTGAACCACACTGTCAGGGAGCTGTTTTCCTTTTAAGCTGTATAATAAAATACATATCCATCATTTTTTTGACTTCTGGAATATATGCTATAGTTCAAAGTTCTTCCTCAGGAATTTTTTACAAATCATCAGTTGATTTTTCTCAGTACGAGTCTGGAGGCCACTGGGTTCAGCTATGTGATTCCTCTTCATGGTCCCTTGTGCAGTTGCAATCAGACAGTGGCTGTGCCCCGAGCCATCTTGAAGGCTTCCTCACCCGTATTGTGAGCAATTGATGCTGGAACCTCAGCTGGGATCAGGGACAGTTCTTGGGGTATAACTTGTGCAGCTGCACCAGGCCCCACACTTAGGTTTAATGCCCTGTTGTCACCACTTAAATTCTTAATTTTTGAATAAGAGGCCTGCATTTTCATTCTGCACTGGATCTTGCCAGTTAAATAGCTGGTCCTGACTGGGGCTGTTGGCCACAACATCTATACTTTCCAGGTGGCCTGGGCTTTCTCAAGCATGGTGGCTGGGTTCCAAGTGGGAGAGTTTCCAGAAAGAGACACAATATCACCTTTTATGACTGAACCGAAATTCTCCTAAGGTCACAGTGTAAGAAGTGGGGAGAGATGCTGCCACAGCTGTCCTTGGAAAATGCAGTTTGCCACATCTGGTCATAAGCAGGTCACTTCCCACCCCTGGCCTCAACCTCCCCATCTGCAGAAAGCGGGGGTGGGGTGGGGGGTGGGGTGGTGTTCAGTTCCCCTCTGGGAAAAGGCCAAGGGAGAGTTGGGACCTTGATCCTGGAAGCCACTCCCAGCTTTCCCCTCCCACTACTCAGGGGAATTGGAACCCGGCCCATCAGGCCAGAAGCTGACCTGGGAGCTCTGACCATTTTCTCCCCTGGAGGTCTGAAATCTCCAAGGAAGGCAGAGACTCGGCACCCTGACATCTGTTTCTCCTGCCAGCATCTTTGCTTGGCTGACTCCTCCTCTGCTCTCATTTCTCCCTGGGGCATGTTGTTGTCTCTCATTAACTTCCCTTCACCTCCCAGCACGGTCCCTAGACTCTGAGGTCTGTTAATTCCCCTGTAATCCCCTGGCAAACCAGGAAGCTAATTAAATTGTGGGTTTGTGCCCTTGCTGGTTTGGCGCAATGGATAGAGCATCAGCCTGTGGACTGAAGGGTCCCAGGTGCGATTCTGGTCAAGGGCACATGTGGGCTTGATCCGCAGTAGGGGGCGTGCAGGAGGCAGCCAATCAATGATTCTCTCTCATCATTGATGTTTCTATCTCTCTATCCTCCCTTCCTCTCCGAAATCAATAAAAATATATTTTAAAAATTTAGCGAAAAAGCAACCATGTACGTTGCTTGGTGTAAAAAAAAAAAAAAAAAAAATTGTGAGTTTATGCGGCACCCTGTCAATCTGCATCTCTCTTCTCAGCCTCTCTCCCATCTGTCTCTTCCCTTTGCCTATCTTACTAGCCCTGCGCAGTTCAGATCCATCTGAACACAGTATTGTCTCCCTCCTCTCCACTCTTCTGTCCTGTCAGTCCTTCACTCTGCAGCCAGAGTGTCTTACAACACAGCTCTGAGCACTCTCCCCTCTGCTGCAGGATAAACTGAGCTCCTTAGCTCAGCATTTAAGCCACACACCTCACCTGCCACATCATCCCTGGAAAACCCTTCCCTCCTGACCTGAGCGTGCAGTTCCCAAACCCCCACAATGTCACCTGCACCCCTTTAGAATGAGTCTTTTTTTTTTTTAAATATATTTTATTGATTATTTATAGAGAGGAAGAGAGAGGGATAGAGAGTTAGAAACATCAATGAGAGAGAAACATGGACCAGCTGCCTCCTGCACATCTCCTGCTGGGGGTGTGCCCGCAACCAACGTACATGCCCTTGACCGGGATCGAACCCGGGACCTTTCAGTCCGCAGGCCGACGCTCTATCCACTGAGCCAAACCGGTTTCGGCTAGAATGAGTCTTACCTTTGACTGGGTCATCCATCTCACTAGGTCAGGTCCTCACCATTATTTTTTAAAATATTTTTATTGATTTCAGAGAGAAAAGGAGAGGGAGGAAGAGATAGAAACATCTATGATGAAAAAAAAAGAATAGAACTATCTATAATGAGAGAGAATCATTGATTGGCTGCCTCCTGCATGCCCCCTACTGTGGATCAAGCCCACAACCCGGGCATGTGCCCTGACCTGGAGTCTAACCATGACGTCCTTCCTGGTTCATAGGTCAATGCTCAACCACTAAGCCACACCAGCTGGCCTCACCATTATTTAGAAACTAGAGGCCCGCTGCACGACTTCGTGCATGCATGGGGTCCCTCAGCCTGGCCGGCAATTGGGGCCAGTCAGGGCCATCTCCCCCAGTCCCAATTGGCTGGCTGGCCAGAGGGGGGGACCACAGGAGATTGGCTGGATGAGGAAGGTTGGTTGTGGAAGCACACTGACCACCAGGGGGCAGCTCCTGCATTGCACGTCTGCCCCCTGGTGGTCAGTGCGCATCATAGTGACCAGTCAAACCGGTTGTAACAGTTGCTTAGGCTTTTATATATATAGACTAGAGGCCTGGTGCACAAAAATTTGTGCACTTGGTGGGGGGGGTCCCTCAGCCCGGCCTATGACCTCTTGCAGTCTGGGACCCCTTGGAGGATGTCCACCTGCTGCTTTAGGCCCGCTCCCTGGGGGATTGGGCCCAAGCTGGCAGTCAGACATCCCTCTGGCAGCCCAGCAGCCCTCAGGGGATGTCCACTTGCTAGCAGGGAGCAGACCTAAGCTGCAGTCGGACATCCTTAGGGCTGCTGAGGAGGTGGGAGAGGCTCCCACCACCCACCACTGTACTGGCAGCCATTAGCCTGGCTTGTGGCTGAGCAGAGCTCCCCTGTGGGAGCGCACTGACCACCAGGGGGCAGCTTCTGCATTGAGCGTCTGCCCCTTGGTGGTCAGTGTGTGTCATAGTGACCAGTCATTCCCAGTCATTCTGCTGTTAGGGTCAATTTGCATATTACCCTGTTATTATATAGAATAGAGGCCTGGTGCACAGGTGGGGGCCGACTGGTTTGCCCTGAAGGGTGTCCTGGATCAGGGTGGGGGTCCTGCTGGGGTGCCTGGCCAGCCTGGGTGAGGGGCTGATGGCTGATGGCCCTCAGAAGGGTTGAGGCTGCCAGAGGTCAGTTTCCTGCCTTCCCCAGTCCAGCCAGCCTTGGTGAGGGGCTGATGGCTGTTTTCAGGCTGCCCAAACTCCCTTCAGGATGGGGGTCCCCACTGGGGTGCCTGGCCAGCCTGGGTGAGGGGCTGATGGCTGTTTGCAGGCTGCCCAAACCCCCTTCAGGGTGGGGGTCCCCACTGGGGTGCCTGGCCAGCCTTGGTGAGGGGCTGATGGTGGTTTTCAGGCTGCCCAAACCCCCTTCAGGGTGGGGGTCCCCACTGGGGTGCCTGGCCTGCCTGGGTGAGGGGCTGATGGCTGTTTTCAGACTGACCAAGCCCCCTGGCAACTGAAGCTCCCAGCCTTTACTTTTTTTTTTTTTTTTTTATTCGCTCCAGCTCCGTGGCAATGGCGACTAGAAGCAGGTATCTGGGGTTTATTTACCTTCTATAATTGAAACTTTGTTGCTTTTGAGTGGAGCTCAGAGCCGTTGGCAGGCTGGCTTCCTTCATGACTGGAGCAAGCAAGCCTCTTGCTCACTCCAGCTCCGTGGTCACAGCCGGCTGAAAGCAGGTATCTGGGGTTTATTTACCTTCTATAATTGAAACTTTGTTGCTTTGAGTGCAGCTTAGAGCAGGCTTCGGTAGGTGGGGAACCTTGGCTTCCTCCACCACTGGAGCAAGCAAGCCTCCAGCTCGCTCCAGCTCCGTGGCTGCCGGCCACCATCTTTGTTGGCGGTTAATTTGCATATCTCGCTGATTAGCCAATGAGAGGCATAGCAAAGGTATGGTCAATTACCATGTTTGTCTATTATTATATATACTAGAGGCCCGGTGCACAAAAATTTGTGCACTCGGGGGGGAGGGGAGGCCCCCTCAGCCCGGCCTGTGCCCTCTCGCAGTCTGGGACCCCTCAGGGGATTACCACCTGTTGGCTTAGGCCCGCTCCCCGGGGGTTTGGGCCTAAGATGGCAATCAGACATCCCTCTGGCAGCCCGGCAGCCCTCAGGGGATGTCCACTTGCCAGCGGGGAACAGGCCTAAACTGCAGTCGGACATCCTTAGCGCTGCTGAGGAGGCAGGAGAGGCTCCCACCA